ACCAGCGGCACCAGGGCGAGCACGGGAAAGGCCTCCTTCAGGCGCGAGCCCGGGAGGCCCCGCACCACGGACCGGATGATCCGATTAGCCAGGCGGCGCAGGAACGGGTCGACTGCGATGCGAAGCTCGTTCTCCTGGTGCCTGAAAGCGGCGAGGAAATATTCCTTGGCGCTGCGGTAGGCGCCCTTCTTGAAGCCCGCCCCGATGACCTCGAGGACGTGCGCCGAGATGGGCCATGGCGCCACCTCGCCCTCATAGGCGAGCCTGTTCCAGGTCTTGAGGCGTGACTCGTATGGCCCCCGAGTCGTCTTGGCCAGCATGTCGCCCCGGAGCTCGGCGATAGCCCTCTTGAGGTTGGCCGGGCGGACCGCCTCGACCGCGGCGGCCAGGGACGCTCGTGCCTCCGCCCGCCTGGCCGGCAGGTCTGGCCTGTCGGGACCGGCCGCGACCAAGGCCAGAGTCGACACCCCATAGAGGCGCCCGGCTCGTGGAGCGGGTACCTGAACTCGTCCCAGGCCCCTTGGCGAGGGTCTGACGAGCCCCGTCTGTGAGTCCGATGCTCCCTGTTGCGGCTGCCGAAGCCGTGGCGCCCTTGGCCGGCCATCTCCACCGAAGGAAAGGACGCCTTCGGCGGAGGCGGCACCGCCGAGGAAGAAGCAGCCGCCCCCTGAGCCGCCGCGTCGGCGTTAAGGTAGTCCTGCCACGGCGACTCGATGGTTGTGGCCGGCGTGGGGCGGCCCGGCACAGGGCGGGGGTGGGTATCCTCCACCACCTGGACCCGGCGAGGGGCTGGATGGGCCTGCTCCGGCGGGGGCCCCGACGCCCGATCCGCCTGTGTGGCCTGGCCGGAGGCCGCTGCCGGCCGCTGGGCTGGCGGGGGGCCCATGGCGCGCTGCTCGGCGAACTCTCTCTCTATTTGAGAGGCCAGGGCGGTGTCGTAATCCACATTGTCCGGCAGCTGGCGAAGCCCCGCATAGCTTCTGGCGGCCTGCTCCTGTCGGATGAAGGCCTGGCGCCGGAGGAATTCCTGGCGATGTGGATCCACCTGCTCCTGGTCCTGGAGCTCGGGCGGGGCGGCCTTCTTCGGCACGGCCGCCGGCGGCGTGGGCCCAAGGGTAGACGCCATCGACGGAGGAGGCGTCGTAGATGCGCTCGGCGCCTCCGGCTCCAGCACCGGCGGTGCCTTCAAGACGGCCCTGGCGGTAGAGCTGCTGGCCGCCTCGGGCGCCGGCGGTGGTTGCGCCGCCATGTTTAGCGGCCCGGTGCTTTTGAATGCCGCCGGCCTCGGCGGGAATGGCACCGGTGGCGGCTTTGCCGGCGAGCTCGACATAGGCGCCGGCGGCGAAGCACCGTCTTGGGCTTTGCCGCCGCCCGGATGGGCAAAGCCGATGAGGCCGCAGGCGCCCTTCGGCGGCGTCGAACTCGGCCAGGTAGGACGTGAGTGCATCCCAGCCCGCCTCTGAGAACGGCGGGTCGGCGACCAGCGGAGGCGGGGTCCTGGTAGGAGCCGGGTCAAGCCCTTCCCAAAAGGCGCGCGCCTCCGGCGCCGACGGGCCAGGATCCGTCGTGGGCTGGCCCGCCCCCGGCGCCAAGGATGCCGAAGACGCCGACGTGGACAAAGTTGGCGGCCCGTCGCCAGTGGCAGTGTCCTGGTCGGGCGTGGCATCGGCCTCGACCAAGGCCGCCCACAGGTTCGAGGCGTCCTCGGGCGAAAGAGCCCGGATGGCTGCCTGGACGAACGACCTGATGAAGTGGGCCTCATGAGTCTGAGTGCCCTGGTCGTGGCCGCCCGGTAGGGGCCGGACTGTCGTCGGGATCCAAGCCCAGTAGATCGACGACCTCGGACCCATAGCCCCCACCCGGCGCCAAAGCCTCTGCGGGCAGAGTGCCTGTCGAGGCACACGCCCCAAAAGGCGTAGGCTCAAGCCCATCAAGGCTATCCAAGTCGAAGCCACCAGGCGCGGTCGTAGTAGGCGCCGATGTCGGGCCGACCTCCAGACCCACGCCAGGCGTGGCCTCAGAGCCGTCCGCCCCAAGAGGCGACGAGGGGGCGACGGCGGCCTCCGGCACTGGCGTGGGTCCGAAAGAAGCCATGACCCGAAGAGAGGCGGCGAAGGATAGCAAAGATCACAGAAATTGACGGGCGAGCCGAAATGCTATTCGGCCGCCCGCCTGAGCTTGTTCCTACACACACACGTGTGTTACACCGCATCCCGAGATGCGAGGAGTTCATGCAGCTCTGGCTCCGGCCCGTCGCCGAGGTCGGCGGCGGGGGGCAATATTCCAGCAAGGCTACGGCGAGCGCGCGCTGCCCGGAGACTGCGAGGAGGGCAGACCACTGCGCGACCTGGTCGCGGCGGGTCGGAACTGTTGGGGGACGGCGGCGGCACTGTGCCGCGTCGGGAGGCGAAGGAACTCGGGTGCCTCGGTGCCGAACCTGCCGCCAGTCTCGAGGCTAAGAACGACAAGGCAGCACCTCCGCGCATGGCCGAGTTCAGGGTAAATGTTGTGACGCTTACGCCACGCGGCAGCGCAGACCGCGCAGCCTGGCTGGGTGTCAGCACGGGGGCGGGCCTCGCCTCGCCGTGTGAAAAGGACCCGATTCTGGCATCAAGGGCGAGCTGCGACCCAGCGAGCCGTTGGCGTCCAGGTTCATGTTGGCCAACCGGACGACGTTGCGGGCGACCCTAGCGCCAAGTTTGCTGCATACACGCGCGACAGCGTGCTCGAGAGGCAGCGTGCTCGAGAGGCAGCGCGCGTGTCGCCACAGCACCCCGGAAGTGGCGCACGCGGCGCGGTGATCACCGAGCGTGTCAAGTTGCCCGTGACAAGCGCATCTGCGCGGCGCAAGCGGCAGAGGCATGCGCAGACGCCGCAGCAGGAGAACGCGGAACTGGGCGCTAGGGATGGTGACCTCATGGTGCGTGGGCGGGACATTGATGGCTCGGGCAGCGAATCTGCTTGTAAGAGCAGCAGCGCACGGGACGCAGGGGAGAGTTCAGAAAGGTGCGTCTCGAACGCGCGCTCGTCGCATGCTCCGGCGTCGAGTCGTTGCCAGTCAGGGCCCGGAGTCCTCGTCGGGGCGACGTGAGTTGAGCGGGGGCGGGCCATCACCCTGCGTATCCCCGTCCGGGGCATCGTAGCCGGCTTGTCGCAGGTGTGCTTGCATGCGCGGCAACTGCGGCGGCAGTGGACGGAAGGGCGGCGTCACCGCGCAAGGCTTGCAGGAGTTTGGCGGCGGCTGCAGGCGCACGTGCGTGGATGACAGGCAACGTGTCCTGCCAGGACTCCCACACAATGTGCGGCCCAGCTGTCGTCAAGCGCGGAACCCAAACCTTCCAAACCTCTGAGCAAAATGGGCGGCGGGCAAGCTCGTCGGTGGGAAGGGCGTTTCCCCTTGCTCGAGTAGTGCGGCCAGGCAACGGGCAACGGCGGTGTCATGCGCACCGGCATAATCAGCTGTGAGGTGCGGCGGCAAAATGCACAGGAGGTAGTTTGTGCGTGGGGCCGCGCAACTTTGGAGCAGCGATCATTTCGAAGCTAACTTGCCGGTCCAGACCTCTCCCTCTGCAAAGCACCTTGGGTAGGGAATACGGCGACTTGGCAGGCTATGCATGCTTAAATGCTCAGAATGACAAGTGCATGAACAAACCAAGCTGCATGAAACATATAGATAACGATCTTCAATCGTACATTCGAAAGCGGGCGTCGGACAGGAGAATAGACGAATTGTAACGATACCACAACGGAAAATGAAGTTGGAGAATCTGTGTTGCAGCCTGATCAGAAATCCTCTGTGCAGGAGGCGAGTTTGAGAACCACGAGCCATAAAATTCGTGCCCTAAACGCTGAAGCCTAAACCGCCTTCAGGCGATATCGTCTCGCTCCACATCAGGCTGCTGAACCATGGGCGACTGTGACCCAGGTAGCACTGATTTAATTCAGGTTCCTCGCTTGGTTGAAGCGAAATAATCTGCAAGCGAAGGAGGGCAAAGACCATGACCGCATTTTCCGCAAGATCTTTCGTCGAGAGCTGAGGGATCTTTGATGCTTGTGTATCTGGTAAAACCCAACGGGAAAAACTGCTGCGTGGAGAAGGACATGTAGCAGGCGCAGACGAATTGATTCGCCCTGCTGGAAAAGCCAGCCCTAATCCACGCAGGATTCCCATCAGGAAGAAAACTCTTTGAAAGGAGACAACTTGTCGGACCGTGCAAGGCAGAGTCGCCAGTCTCTTCGCTGTCACTACTGGGCTGATTAAGGATATGATATGGGTGTGTCCTTAAAAAATCTGCATGCCTAGATGCAACATGTGCTCGGAATGCTGATAGAATCCAAAAGGGCAGAGCAAAGACACATGAAACGAACATCAAGCGATGCTTTCGTTCGTCTTCCAGTTACGTGTTCAATCAACTTTGCTTTATATCGGGGCCTGACCTTTTATCCACCATTGCTACCTCATTTCTTCTTTATCTGTGCTTTACTTAAAATGTCCTAGATGCGAACCGGTAGACTCTTGATGACGATGTCCGCAGCAAAAATGCTGACAGTCGGTGGCCCAGCTGTCAGCCACTGCGTCACGCAGCAAACTGCGCAGCGCAGATTCTACAAGTCTTTCTCCAAGCCTTCGCATGGAGTAGCTGTCAACAGAAGCGGAGTACCTTGTACGGCAGCTCGCGCCCTGTACTCTTATCAGTTGCAGCCGACTTGCGGCCTGCCCGGAAAATCTGTGCGCTTGTCCTTCTCCAAGCCAGCGCAGAGAAAAAACTTCAATCCAAGGCTTGAAATGAAAGGGAGCCAAAGCGCCGTCTGCTCTTCGGCTACTCCGTGTCGATGAGGCCTCGGTCTCTGAACAGGGGCCTAGATCCTCCTAGCGGCCCCTGGATCCTCCGGAACCCTGAGAAAGAATAAGGCAGCAGAACAACATCTTACCTCGGAAAAAGTCTGCAAGGCCATATCCTGTGGACTTCCGAGCCTTTCCCCTCTTTGATCCGAAAACTCCAAGTTAAGCTGAAGCTTCTGCCAAAGACGAAACGAATTCCAAAGCACTCAAAAACTCATCATGTCCCACGATAAGCCGGGATCCCCCACATGGACCTCGACGCGGGTGTCTCATGCTTGGGCGATGCAGCTGCGATGTGCCCCTGCCTGAACAGCCCAGGGAGCTCAAGGAACACCACGCACCCTTGCCAAGACATTAAAACAAACGCTTTGAGGAGAAAACAAAGATGCAAACAAGCCAACTGCACCCGTGCCTCGTGCAAGAGTCACGGACCTCCCTTCTTCCTGCCAAGGTTCATGACTTCGGGGGTGTGGGGTTCGGGGTTGGGCTGGGTTGGGGGTTTTGGGGACTTTGGTGGCGTGCGCGGGGAGACTGAACGTGGATTTCGTCTTGTGTCTATGAAGCGGTCGAGGAGGTCAGCAGATCCGAAATCAGGTTGTGGTCGATGGGCTGATCGTGATCAGCTTTCAGGGGTCACAGACCCACCCCTGTGCCGTGATCTTCAGAGCTTCTCAACCTCCGCACTCCACTGTTCGTTTGCTGCTTTTGATTTTTTTCACTACCCTAAACCCCTGGGCAGCCGCCCCACTAATCAACGTCTCCCAGCTTCACTGCTCTGGAGATTCGAGAGAGAGAGAGAGCGTCTGATCTAATTTAACTTGAGTTAGCTAGCTGAGAACCCTTCTTGTCGAGCAGCACTTTTCATACAGCCCTTGGCACCCGTGGCACAAGTCCAAAACGTTGATATGCTTGCTCAGAAAACATCTTCGGGCCCCAGGGCCGTTGCAGAGCGCCTGATATACCACACATATCCCCCGAAAGCCCAAAGAGAGGCGCAACAAACACAAGATGTGTTCTGATGACAGGAAGGTACTAGACTCCAGGATCACTTAATCAGCCGGGCCTCGGTCTCGCCGCCCCTCAGCCAATGTCGCCGGACACCTTGGGGGCTTTAAAGGGCTTTTCAAGGAGATGGTGGCTGTAAGTAGGGTGGCAATAGTCTCTTTTTTGTGCAGGAGAGAAGCCCATGAACCTCTATTTACCCCTATTTTAATACCGCGAATCGGACAAGGTGTCCAGTAAGCCCTGCCCTGAAACCAAAAAGGGAAACGACTCAGGGCGTCAGGAAGCAAATGCCAAGAGCAGAACACGAATAAACTGGAATAGCCGACAAAGTCAACCGCCTTTTGGAGCTGGAGAAGGTCGGCCCCTTACACAACTTTCGAGCCGTAAAACCTATCACTGGGTTTTTGCTAAGGAGCTGAAATTAAGTTCCCGCAAGGAGGAAACAACATTATTTATGCTTTAAGTTCCTTACCAAAAACCAGATCAATGTTGTTCATCTCTTAACCCCCCCCCCCCTCCCTAGAGGCCCTATAAGGTGAGACCGAATCCACGTTCAAAGCAGTCAAAGCACTTTCCTTCAGCCCAGGTCTGCAGCAAAGCACCAGCGAAGTGAACAAGCCTTCCACATGGAAAGTCGCAGTTCTTTTTTTGTTTGGGGGGGTTGGGCTCACTGGGGCTCAAGCGTTCTGGGTCTGGAGTTCCGGCTACTTGGTTTCAACCCAGAATTCCTAAGGCTCAGGACGTCCCGAAAGTCTTGCCCCCCAAGCGCCTAGTCCAAGAGCCGTCAGGGTCGGCTTGAGGACGGCGTCCTTTTGCAGCACGCATATGGCTTTTCCCTTGGGGAGTTCCAGGATTGCCTAGCTCGGCTCATCTAAGCTGAAAGCTCGAAACTTTTTAAAAAAACAAGGCAAAAGATCAGGCGAGTGTGAGAGACTAAGTGACTCTCTATGTTGTACCTTTCAGAAGGGCTTTAAAGAGCATAGACTCCGCTCATGTCAGAAGCTGATCTCTGCTTTGAGTGGGCCCCTGCACCCTGAAGCCAAACCTCGGAAGCTTTACCTGCACTGAACCCTAAAGGCCCTAACAACTAAGGCCCTAATAAGGCCCTAATAAGGCCCCTACTGTTCCACCTCTCCTCAGACCTAAGGCCCAAGACACACCGACTCCTTGAGAAGGCTGCTGCCCATGGCTTCAAGCCTCAGGTCGGCAAGAAGAAAAGGCGACGGTTTTTGGGCGTGCCTTCAGAAGGCTGGGGGCTCCGATCATGTTTGGGTACTATCTTCAGGAGATCCCATGACTGGGTTCAAATATGTGGGTCCTTCTACTGTTGTGAACCCCCCTTTGTTGCCTTTTCGTTATAAAGAAGGCGCATTCAACGCATTCATATCAGCCTGGTGGCCAGTTCACCGCATCCTCGGCCTGGACATTGGCCAGGAACAGGATTATGTAGCAAATGCAGGTGGCCGCGTAGCACGATGATGCCACCTCGTTGCGGGGATCAACTGCGATCGCAGGGCAACCCTAACACCGTATGGGGTGTCTCAACAGCATAGATCAAGCTTCAGACTCCTGGTTGCGGGGTGTCAAAGTTCAAGGCTTTTGTTGGCTAAAAGTGTGCATTTTTTGCAGCTGGTCTTAAGGATCAAGTCTGCGCCGTGAAGCCCAGTACAACATCCGCTTGCCCCGCAATCGCGCCGACTTTTCTTGCGGCGCCTGCCGAAGGCAGGTCGCTTGAAAGAGAATCGTCTGATGGACCCATCACCCTTTTCACAACTCCAACACGTTGGTCACAGCAGAAGTGTCTTCTGGCGCCATGCTTCGTGAAAAAAACAGAGCCCTATAAGAGCTCTAGACCTCGCTCTCCAAAGCTCTCAACAGCCTTCTCATTCCCTTTTCGCATCCCAAGACATGTCACCAAACCATGTCAGGTGCTGACTTCCTATCGAGGCTCGAGAAGATCAACTCGGGACCTCTCCGGGCTTGGAGCTCGGATTCTGGATGAGCAGCAGGACGAAGACAATGAGGTCCCCAAGGACCTTGATTCGAAGCAGCTCTCGAGGCAATCTTCTCAAGCTGAGGCCCAAAACACTAGACCCCCCCCCCCCCCCAACAATCCTCAAACCACAAGAAGCCAGAAGACTCACAAATTCAACTGTTTCCGTTTCCAAGCAACTGCGGAAAGCAGGCCTACCCAGAACTTCCGCACAAAGCCCCTCTCCATGCTCAAGTCTTCTTCGTTGCATCCTGGAGGGAGAAAGGGCTTCAAGGCTCACGGCTTATGGCTTGTGGATTTGAGCATACGGCGCGAAGAAGATCGAAACCTCCCTGCAAGAGCCTTGATGGTGCTTGAGCCCTGGTAGGAAGGGTTTCGAGCTTTCGCTATGGGGTACGCAGACCTTTTGCGAGCCCGCACCTTGGACAGCTTGTTTTGCAGTAGTCGTGAAGAAAACTGCATTGGTGAAGCCTCGCGCGGGCTCTCGGATTCTTTGGGAGGCAAGGCTGGGTGGGGGGATAGGTGGAGGGGGCGAAGTGATGTGAAGTGACGTGAAACGTTTCAAATTGCCAAAGGCACCAGCGCTGAGAAGCTTCAGGATGATCGCGGACACCCGCACAGCGACTGGGGTGAGCGCATAGAGCCCTCGGGCGCAAGGTCTGCATGAGAAGACTAGGGCCCATCTCACCATGTGCAGAACCATATTGCGGCAGTGCGTCGAAATAGAACCGAGTAGGTGTGCACCGCCGGCAACCTGAGCAAAATGGTTTCTAGATTAATCGCTCACTGTAACCCTTTGAGCTCCGAATTCCAGCCTACTTACGTCTTACACTTGTGGTAACGATACATTGAGAGGAGCATTCGAAGAGGTCAAGACTTGAGGTTGAGGACTGGATCCAGGGATTGGGGTTTAGTGGCTTGAGGGTGGGTGTCCTTGCAACCTTGCTCCTTACAGCCCTGAAGCCTAAAAAGAAGCATAAAGCCTGAAGCCCACGATGCTAATTGCCCTTCTCGGCTCAGGCCACGGAGCAGGATGATGACGCGGTGGTGCAGTGATCCATGTAGGATCACATCCACGGCTGATTTTCCGGCACCTGGGAGGAGCCCAAAAATGCCCTCACAAATCACCCTCTGTGGTTCCTAAGGTGATCAGAAGTTTTCTGGCTCATAGACTCATAACGCAAAACTGGCCCTCTTCGGTTCTGAAGGTGACCGTAGAGGCTCTTCTTAAGCCCTGTGTTGACAAGTCCTCTTGGGGGGAAATATGGGAGATCAACGCCTCCTTGCATGGGTCTTTGTTCTGACATGCGAGAAACTGGTGGAAAAGAAGGTATGGAATGGAAAAGAAAGACGGCTCTGTTCCAAGCCCGGCGTCGATTAATGTCGAGGACTTGGCGAAGATCGAATTGTTGGCTCATTCTCGATTGAATCTGGGTCAACCTGTCCGCAAGCGTGGAATTGAGCGTGTGACATGGAATCCAGCCAGTCGCGTCTCAATCGGTGTAGCTCTGCGCCATCTGGCTCAGAACCCCTTCTGAACACCTCAGCTTCCCTAAGCCATCCTAAAGCCTACCAACAAGCTGCCTGGCACGGAAAGGAATCCTCCGCGGGCACGTCCAAAGCAGGGCACTCGGCCTGAGCTCCTGGAGTCCGAAGCTTCGATGTGACGTTCAGGGTAAGGACAAGAACCAGCCCCCCCCCCCAAACCCCCGTAAGCCCCTTAACTTCAGCTTGGGACTTACCTTAGAACGACAGGTGCGCATAATCAGAACGATTTCGGCGAGTTCAAAATTGCATTTACGGCGGTTGCCAGTAGCTTAAGTGAAAGCTTAGGGTAAACCTCCTTATCTGTGCGTTTGGCTCTTTAGCGGAATGGGCCGAGTGGTCATTTGCACTTGTCCCCTGACTGTGCGCATCGGCTCCTGTCAGTTGTTGCCATTTTCAGGGAAGTTCAGGGTTTAGAAGAGTTCGACATCGTCTGTTGGACACCGGATCGCTTCTAGAGGAATATGGCGCAAGCCCCGGGACCCTGTTCGCGAGGAGGTTATGACACCCGAGGTGCTTTGGCAGATCATGGTTAGCATGCGCTCCGTGCAAGTCCTGCAAGACTTGCAAGAGAGTTTAAGCAAACTGGCGCCAGAATGCATGATAGATACGCTACTGAGCACTCGAAGGGAACATGTCAATAGCTCCGGTGTTTTGTGGAGAGAGAGAGTGCAAAAGTTCAGTGAACAATCCTACCAGTGAGAGCAACCCACAGCAAGATCAATCACTTTCCCAGT